CGATCGAAATCCTACCCGAGACAGTCGAAGCAGTCGCATACGCTACCACTGTACCACCGAGATAGTCTTTACATGGTCATTTAAAATCTACTCTTACTTATTAGAGATTATTCTATGAACATAGTTTATAATAACTGATTTTACTCAAATCGAAATGAGCTTAAATGTCAATCCATTCTTACAACATCAATGTTATACGAGTAAAAGTCTATTGCCACATCTCAGTCTTATTCAATTTACTCATTTCGTAACTCAACGTCGTGAACATTCAAGTGTTTTGAGGCTTCAACCGCCTTTATAGATGTCAGTTTGTCACACTCGCGAGTTCAACCCCAGATAACAACATCATATCTAAATATTATTTTGTTTACTGGCTGTCACCGCGAAAGCTTTAACACGTGTTTTATGAAACATATAAAATATCAGGCCTTTGAGAATGTTCTGGAAGATTAATGCCTTTTATATTACGTTTTCTTTGTTTTCTTTCTGAAGTAAAACGAGATTTTTATAACGCTGTACACTTTATAAGACAAGAAGACAGACATCCTTATTAATATAGATGGTACGAATAAACATTTATATAAAATATTCAAAGTATCCGTAGTGAGCGCATCACCTTACATAAACCAACAATAATATACGGCAGTAAATTTTGTCAAAAATATAACTGTATGAATATAATTAATGTAATTTAATAATTATAAATAAATGGTTCACTATATGAATGTAAACTTGTTATACCCATTGCAACAAGTTTAGAATTAATACATTTATAGATTAATAGTTCTAGCATAATTATTTAGTTGTGTAATTACAAACTGTTCTTGTTAGGAATAAAATATAATGTATGTATGTAAAACTTGTAGCTGAATGAGTATTTTAAGAACTCTCAATGAGTGGGGTACTACCACATAACGACAGAAAGACAGAAAGTCAAACATCTTACCATATCAATACTAACCTATAAACTCCCAATTTAAACATATATCCCACATCTATCCACTGCGTCTCGTCACGGCGGTCCATAGCCAATATGCTTGACAAATTACTACCTAATACAATAACCTGTCAGTCACAGAGCAAAGATTTCAGCGCACCGTCCATCATCGCCGCGTCGCTGGGGTGTAGATAGTTGGCCTTGATAACAATATTCATAGGAGACATTGGCGTGACCCCGACCCAACATGATGATGTATTGTGACTTGTTTGTATTTAGAAAGGAAAATCATAACTCACATTCTTCTTTCTTCTTTTTTTTCGTTCACTTTAAAAAGACATCTCCCGCATTAGGAATATATCCTGTGTCGCGGAGGACTTTACATGAAACGGACACAGAGAACACCCAGACTAAGAACAACATTATAAATTACATTCACAGTTTCCTTGTTTAGTACACTTTGAAGCTTTAACTACTTACTATATCAGAAATCCTGATAATAACGAAGTACGATTAGTTAAAAAAGCTGTTACTGGTAGAACCTTATTTAGTTGACCAATAGGTCAAATGGGTTTAAAAAACCGTAATAAACGCGAGCGAAACTGTGACCTAGTGGCGTAGTATTGTAACTATTGTTTGATACACACCTAATAACGGACCTTATATAAGCTTAAGTAATAAGCTGAAGTAAAAATAAATTGCAAATAAGGCATTACGATATCGAGGTCCGCTATTTTCTTGTGGTAAAATTGATCCCTTCGAATATCGCGTTGTCGCAGTTTCATTTTAGCACAATGTTCATAAAAATGAGATTACACACTCTTACAAGAGTATTTTATGTGTTACATTTAAAACGAAAATGTTGTTTAAACTAAAATAAACATTCACCAAGATTTTCCTTTAAGCAAGTGGTCTGCACCAATATTGCAATGCAAAAAGACATGTATGGCTTTACCATTTATACATTCAAATACTCAACCCTTTTCCTTGACCGGTGTAGGCACAGACAATAGAACGCCATTTGCAAGTGAGTCAGTCAGAATAAAAATTGTCGAAATAGCACTGGTTATACCTTTCTAAGGAGAGGCCTATGTCCAGCAGTGGACTTTTGAGGGCTGTTGATGATTGTGATACAGTTTAATTGAGCATTTAATTGCATTGAAAATAACTCTGACTTTTTCACAACGAAGTTTAAAAGGATCGTAGTACTACTCAAGTGGAGCCGGCTCGTTTGTGGTGAAGAATAAATAATAATATTTCTGACACACAACGCCATCTAGTTTCAAACTAAGCAGAGCTTATACCATGAAAGCTGGAATGACTGATATGATACCTATGTACTTTTTTGTATATATTATATGGATATATTAAACACTTTTTAAGATTTACTTGTAACTAATTTTAATATATCAAGAAAGATTTCATTTTATGAACATTTTATGAACAAATCTATTTTTTAAATTTTATTTATAATCGACGATTTTGCCACTATTCTATAATCTTTCAGAAAAATAATCTTATTTTGTTCAACTACTGTAAATACAATATTATGTATATTAAGCCGTTATAGCTATAAATCCAAAAAAACAAATATCAAGATAAAAGTGTCAGACACAGCAATGTCTCTGCAGACAATAATAAAACTGTAAGGTCTTTATTTTCGGCCATTACTATGTTTTTTACAGATCGTAAATCAAATACTTGGTAAGCCAGAACATCTTAAAACGGTATATTCTCCACATATTTCTCAAATATAAGGTTTACAAACCATTTACATTCTATTTATCGTTCCGAAACTGGCTAGGGGGATGTTGTGTCAGCGGAAAACTTGTTAAAGTCCTCCCAGCAAAGAAAGAGTTATGAAAACGCCAACTTTGGGGTTCACAAAAAAGCGTAGACAGTTTCCTCAACTTCGGTCCTCAACAGGATTTTATAAATATTAAAATCTAAGGGACACACTTTGAAAGCGGAAACTAATTTTTTTCTCCTTCGCGAGGTATTCATAGCTTCGTGAAAAGTGACTTCCTTGTCTTTGTAATGTTTTATAGAAATATTCTTATAATAAGTAACTTTGTTGCCCAAAAATATCCCAACATTATTTGATGGATGGATTTATCGAAATTTAATTAAGTACGGCCATTTTGTTTACAAGGTAATCACTACTATTCATGAGTAAATTTTTAAATTGAAGGTATTCATAATATATAAAAAGTGTATGTGATAAAATATTTGTTAAGCCGTAGAAATTGCCAGATGTAATTTGCTTCGGAAATCAATTCCTGTCTATTAATACAATCTCTATTAACTCGGGTAGGGAGAGGATGGTTCTTGTAAAGTTATGCATAATAATTACTTGCTCTTCAATTCCAATTAAAGGCACTTCAGCAAAGACAAAGTCCTTGCGGTTGAATCTCGACTTGTAGTCGTCGACCAACTTCTGATGCCTACTGAACTGTGACTTTCGATACATTCCGGCTAGCAACTATTTGGTTAAGACGTCGCAGTTTGTTTAGTCGTTTATTGAACTCTATATTTAGACTCACCATGCTTGCAGAATACTGCATCCCTGTAGTATAGGTTTCATGTAATAAACAATGAGAAAGGATATAAAACATTCAAAACTTGATATTATTAATAATTTTAACAGAAAATTAATAAACGAAACATTTTAAATAAGTTTTTTTTTAATTTTTTCATAATTGAGTTTAGTTGGTTAAAATCACTATTTTTAGTAAATAAGTTTGTTACCCAAAACAATATTATTGAACTTTTAATATCTGTATAGCTTATTCAAGACATCCTATATCGAGGTCCTGATTTGCAACCTTTAAATTAGTTTTTAATGTAAAGTAACTAATGCAGACAGTCAAACCAGCTGTTGGTGTAGCGAATCGTCGTCGCTACGTACTGTGATAGTGTACGAGTACTAGTATATGTAACGTGCAATGAGGTGTGACAACGCGTCGCTACGACTTTGCAGCTCTCTCTCGCTGATTATTAGTGATATTACTCATTATTTATAAAAAAATATTTCGATGTTTCACATCTGCCAGGTGTCCCGCGATGGTTTATTTTTTTATGGGTCGCTGTTTTTCTGTTTCAACTTGTCAAAAATACCAATTTAAACGAGTTTATATATAGTGATAATGATGATGAGTGATGCTAAATAAAGTAATATATAAATTGTGTATGACTATTAAGTTACACTGTTAATATTATTTCTGTTATTACAGTAATTAAATAACAGCTTAATTTATTTATTTTACTTATTACTTGACGGTACTTGACAGTACAATAAAAGATAATTAATTATCTTTTGTTAAAATACTTTAATTTAAACATCACATCACATGAACAGCCTTTAATAACCCACTGCTGGACATTGACCTCTCCTTAGAAAGAAGGTTTTAGTCTACTATACCACGCTTTCCAGACGGGTTAGTAGAGGGTTTGTGTCAAGTTTTCCTTCTTTTTGCAGTGCTGTTGTCCTGCGTGATTTGCTCCCTTGGTCGGCTCTTACGACTCCCAGGGGATGAATAGTAGTGGTGACATTCTGTATTTTTAGTTCATTATCACACGGATAAATAAAGTTAATTTAAGCATGCTTTTATAAAAATAAATCTAAATCCTTTTATATGGGTTCTTATAATAAGTATACCTTTTTTAAATTTTCAAATGAAAACATATTTTTTTTCCTCTTACTGATCTAAATAAATATTTACTTAAATCTACACCAAATAAGTATTCTGAAAAAACAGCTGCCATTAAGAACTAACTCAATAACAGCATTTAACTATTGGAGTTCCTTAAAATATATGAAATACCATTTTAGCCATATCTTACGATAAATTTGTTGTTAACTTTGTCAAGAACCGTTAATCTCTCTTACATTTTAAGAAAAGTTGATTGCACTGACCTCTGATTATTTAATAAATACTGACTGTTGTCGGTTCGATTCCTGTACAGTACTACACTTTGTGATATCTCATACATACAAATCTGTCTCATCAAAAAACTCACAAACATACATTTTATATGAGCTGTAGTCTCAAGCTTGCTTCTGCTAGGGTAACGGAACCGCCTTGATATTGCTCGCCTTCTCCCGTTCCCTTTCCGCTGCCACTTTAGCGGACATACCTTTCTCAAAATAGGAGGCGGGAATACTTTCACTTTTGACCACAATCTGAATTGAGCCATTGTTTCCAGCAAGAGATCGCAGCGTTGTTGCGTCAACACTGAGCTCTTCACTAGAGCGCGGCGTGGACAACCTCAGACACAGTAGATTTCTACTCAAAAAGAGACCTTAACTATTACAAGGGGTATGATAGAATGCAAGGAAACAACTTTGTTATTAAAAATTTAAAATAGCGATAAATTGAAAGTCAAGTCGAGTTCCATTCACAAATGTAATATTTGCAAGCTTCCCTTAGTTTACTTTCTAACAATTATTTCTTTAACTATCTAATAATGCAAGTAACATTGTATTAAAATCGCTAAGTTAAGTTGTTAGAAAGTAGTAGTTTTAATCCTACAGCACAATTAATAACAGTGAGTATGTTGCCAGTGAATGTGCACACCACATTCCGTGACAGTAAAAGCTCGTTTACCTCCGTTCAGATGATCCCAATGCAGTTACTGCCTTGTAATTACTTGCTAAATGCATTAGTCATAACTATTTCGAACTTGCCCAGCTTTACTCTCGTGGGTCTTTTAAATTCAAGTAGTCAATAAACTAATTGAGAGTTATAATATACGTTTTAAGTGGTAAGATAACATGTTATTTATTATAAATAACAATGAAGTTATTTTGCAGGAATTCCGAGTAGCAGCCTCAGACTTCTCGATAATAACAACGGTACGGTTCGGGACCCTGAAATGCTTGAACCCCCAAGACCAAATGACAGTTGTGAAAATGTAGGTATTTAATACGTCTCTGCAAACCCTTTCTCGTATACCCTAATCGGCACGTATCGTCACCACTAATCGAATCGAAATCTAAGGAAATAGAAACAACAAACGCCGATGCACATGCCCTAAATTAGTATTAATATTATGAGCGAATAAGCCCAAGATAAGTAATACTTCTATGTAAGATAATTTAGAAGCAAGTATCGTTTTAAACTTTCAAGTTATCTCAATATGTTGGTCCAATAATAGACAAATTACTAGTTGGCACAGTAACAATTTCAAGTTTCCCTTATTAGTAATTTATGCAGGATGTTTCAATTGTTCAAGAGCGAGGTTATCCCGAACATTCTTACAACCGAAATTCTACACCGAAATAAAAAAAGTTTTATTTAAAGATGTTAAAAACCAAGGTAAATTAATAAATAAAACGGATTAAGTCAATCTTAGTATGACTAGATTTTATATTTCTAAAATTCAATCGCTACATATAAGTACAACTGGCTCGAGCCAGCTACTACATCATTTGGAACGATCCTTTAACCTCCAGTGCCTACGCTTTATTATGAGGAGTTATTTGTTTGCAGCTCGTTAGCCTGACGACATCCTGCATGTAATGACACGCCGGCTACTCATGATTCTCGTTAGATTTAATATTATTACGTCAAAATATTTTTCAAAATTTTTATAAGAAATCCAACGAAACCAACAAAGAGTGCATATAGGAGAGGTTTTCTACCTTGTTAAATTTTCGCATGTTAAAATTAATATTTAATGTTATTGTTAGTTGTTTACAAAGAGGTAACTTATGGAGCTGATGCGGACAACAATAGTAGATCGGGACAACAGGGGTATGATTTTAAATGAAAACTCTAAAAAGTACTAGAGATCACCTGATAGTCGAAGTTCAAAGTCATAAAGTTTCTTTATTGATTTACCATTGACTAATATAACATGAATTGTCAATATACATATACCTTTCGTATTAGGACATGTCGACATATAATAACGGACGCGTGTAGTTTCACGTAGAAGTCTCCGTTTAAAATGTTGGTTTCTTCACCTTCTTTCTATGTAAATTCTCTCTTCTAGTCTTCCAAATTTTGCCAAAGCCGATTTTGAGCAAGTACAAGAGAATTAGAATACTCGAATGCCGTATGTAGGAAAGGAGAAGAGTATTTTCTTTTTAATTTGTTGTAATACAAAAAACATGCAAAAACGGCTATTGCAAGCTATGTGAGTTCAGTATATATTTTGAACTGGCACGGTCATGAAAGTCTATACATATAAATATGTATGAGGCAATAGTGCAATCTAAAATAATAAAATTCATAAATTCTTTTATTATATAATCATAATAAATATTTAGAAGGATGAATATTATTAATAATAATACATGAAATACAGAGTTGAACATATATGAAATACCATTTTAGCCATATCTTACGATAAATTTGTTGTTAACTTTGTCAAGAACCGTTAATCTCTCTTACATTTTAAGAAAAGTTGATTGCACTGACCTCTGATTATTTAATAAATACTGACTGTTGTCGGTTCGATTCCTGTACAGTACTACACTTTGTGATATCTCATACATACAAATCTGTCTCATCAAAAAACTCACAAACATACATTTTATATGAGCTGTAGTCTCAAGCTTGCTTCTGCTAGGGTAACGGAACCGCCTTGATATTGCTCGCCTTCTCCCGTTCCCTTTCCGCTGCCACTTTAGCGGACATACCTTTCTCAAAATAGGAGGCGGGAATACTTTCACTTTTGACCACAATCTGAATTGAGCCATTGTTTCCAGCAAGAGATCGCAGCGTTGTTGCGTCAACACTGAGCTCTTCACTAGAGCGCGGCGTGGACAACCTCAGACACAGTAGATTTCTACTCAAAAAGAGACCTTAACTATTACAAGGGGTATGATAGAATGCAAGGAAACAACTTTGTTATTAAAAATTTAAAATAGCGATAAATTGAAAGTCAAGTCGAGTTCCATTCACAAATGTAATATTTGCAAGCTTCCCTTAGTTTACTTTCTAACAATTATTTCTTTAACTATCTAATAATGCAAGTAACATTGTATTAAAATCGCTAAGTTAAGTTGTTAGAAAGTAGTAGTTTTAATCCTACAGCACAATTAATAACAGTGAGTATGTTGCCAGTGAATGTGCACACCACATTCCGTGACAGTAAAAGCTCGTTTACCTCCGTTCAGATGATCCCAATGCAGTTACTGCCTTGTAATTACTTGCTAAATGCATTAGTCATAACTATTTCGAACTTGCCCAGCTTTACTCTCGTGGGTCTTTTAAATTCAAGTAGTCAATAAACTAATTGAGAGTTATAATATACGTTTTAAGTGGTAAGATAACATGTTATTTATTATAAATAACAATGAAGTTATTTTGCAGGAATTCTGAGTAGCAGCCTCAGACTTCTCGATAATAACAACGGTACGGTTCGGGACCCTGAAATGCTTGAACCCCCAAGACCAAATGACAGTTGTGAAAATGTAGGTATTTAATACGTCTCTGCAAACCCTTTCACGTACCACACGTATCGTCACCACTAATCGAATCGAAATCTAAGGAAATAGAAACAACAAACGCCGATGCACATCCCTAAATTAGTATTAATATTATGAGCGAATAAGCCCAAGATAAGTAATACTTCTATGTAAGATAATTTAGAAGCAAGTATCGTTTTAAACTTTCAAGTTATCTCAATATGTTGGTCCAATAATAGACAAATTACTAGTTGGCACAGTAACAATTTCAAGTTTCCCTTATTAGTAATTTATGCAGGATGTTTCAATTGTTCAAGAGCGAGGTTATCCCGAACATTCTTACAACCGAAATTCTACACCGAAATAAAAAAAGTTTTATTTAAAGATGTTAAAAACCAAGGTAAATTAATAAATAAAACGGATTAAGTCAATCTTAGTATGACTAGATTTTATATTTCTAAAATTCAATCGCTACATATAAGTACAACTGGCTCGAGCCAGCTACTACATCATTTGGAACGATCCTTTAACCTCCAGTGCCTACGCTTTATTATGAGGAGTTATTTGTTTGCAGCTCGTTAGCCTGACGACATCCTGCATGTAATGACACGCCGGCTACTCATGATTCTCGTTAGATTTAATATTATTACGTCAAAATATTTTTCAAAATTTTTATAAGAAATCCAACGAAACCAACAAAGAGTGCATATAGGAGAGGTTTTCTACCTTGTTAAATTTTCGCATGTTAAAATTAATATTTAATGTTATTGTTAGTTGTTTACAAAGAGGTAACTTATGGAGCTGATGCGGCAACAATAGTAGATCGGGACAACAGGGGTATGATTTTAAATGAAAACTCAAAAAAGTACTAGAGATCACCTGATAGTCGAAGTTCAAAGTCATAAAGTTTCTTTATTGATTTACCATTGACTAATATAACATGAATTGTCAATATACATATACCTTTCGTATTAGGACATGTCGACATATAATAACGGACGCGTGTAGTTTCACGTAGAAGTCTCCGTTTAAAATGTTGGTTTCTTCACCTTCTTTCTATGTAAATTCTCTCTTCTAGTCTTCCAAATTTTGCCAAAGCCGATTTTGAGCAAGTACAAGAGAATTAGAATACTCGAATGCCGTATGTAGGAAAGGAGAAGAGTATTTTCTTTTTAATTTGTTGTAATACAAAAAACATGCAAAAACGGCTATTGCAAGCTATGTGAGTTCAGTATATATTTTGAACTGGCACGGTCATGAAAGTCTATACATATAAATATGTATGAGGCAATAGTGCAATCTAAAATAATAAAATTCATAAATTCTTTTATTATATAATCATAATAAATATTTAGAAGGATGAATATTATTAATAATAATACATGAAATACAGAGTTGTCCTATTTGCATTCTACCACATTAATTACAACTGAACATTGTACTTTGCATAGTAAATATGGTTTATGATAACTTCCTCTCTCCCAAAAGAACTGCTGCACCCAACAGGCTCCATAATTGTTACCACTTAAATTGTTATCACCTATGTATTTACATTATGGAAGCAATAAAGTATTGAGTAAGTTTATGATTATTTTTGTAAACCATTAAAATAAATGTTGAAAATTATAGTAGAGGCACCAACAGGCGATCTTCAAAAATTATGAATATGCTTATATATAAATCTGAAATGAGTCAATTTATTACTAACGTTTACTTAAGTAATACAAGTATTGCCGAGATGAATAAACGTTAAATTACACACATAGAGTTTTATGCAATGGTAAAGTGCAAACACCGATTTTAACTCACGAGCAAACCGGGTCCCGGTCTAGACAACCCACTAATAGCCCCACAACCCGACAATCATATTTAAAATATTATGCTTCTACTTTCAAAGTTTTTTAAAGAGTTAGATGCATTCAGAAGAGAGGACTTAAATGTAGTAAACAACATTATGGGAACCGAATTAATTTGAACACAAATGAAAAAGTTTTCTATTTTGTGGTTTTTGTTTTAGCGATTGTTGGAAACGGCACAGGTATATTGTGTATATCTAACAGAACTAGAGTCTATATCTAATAATCTGTATATCTCGTACTGATTTCCATGTGGTGACGGATTACGAATACAAAATGTCGCCACCCCCATTTATCCTGTGGGTGTCGTCGTAAAGTCCGACTAAGGGAGCAAACTACACAGGTCAAAATACTGCGAAGAGAAGGAAAACTTGAAATAAATAGGCCAAA